TTGGTTGGTTGCCACCAGGTTTTAGTAAGTTTCTGAACAATGAGTGAATTATGAATGCGAAGATGAACCAGGTAAGATAATGGAGCGAGTCGATTATATTAGCTGTAGCCATTTGTGCTAATTTGGAGTTTCAGGTCTTTGACTTAAAAATTTTGGACTCGCTAGTTACACGATTATATAGAGATTAGAGGGTTAATTAATTACTTACATGATTGTATACATACATACATATATATATATATATATATGATTTCGACATTTTATCTTCCTCATACCGTCTCTCGTTTGTCAGATTCTTTGGTGGGAACTCAGAAACCAAATTTTAGTTGTTGTTTAATCCATTAACAATAAAAAAAATTAAGCAATGACTCAATTTTGAATCTAAATAATTATTTTCTTACGACATATAAGTTTGCAAGTTGAATCATCTCAAAATTTTTTATTCCCGTATTCAAATATTCGCTCTTGATTAAAATAAATAAAAAATATTACAAACCAGTTTATAATAAAAAAAAAATTAAAAATAGAATTTAATATCGAATTATTTAAATGTTATTGGGTATAAATTTTTATTTTTTAAATAAAATTTAAACTCGAGTTATCTACTCTCGTATAATATGAATCCGTATAATATGAATACGCTATCTAAACGGAAAGAAAATAGAATTTGAAGCAGAAAGAAAGCAGTGAAGCACATCATACAATGAAATTCTCCACAATTCCAAATGAGGCTGTAAGCATATATGTCAAGCATCCTGCTGGAGTAAACAGGAAATGAAGTAATAATTTTATATACATTTTGTCTACAAAGAGAATATCCTTTATTTCTTCTACAAGGACCTTCCCAAGAACAAACTCTAAATTCCACCATGTTCTTCCAAAATCATCCTCTTTAGGTTCTTCAATAAGACCCCAAATGCATTCAAAATAAAAGAATTTTTTAGCTATACGGTAATCAATTTGTTTTTCAAGCAGAGGGTAGTATCAGAGGATGATCAGTATCACTGTGATATCATCATAGAAGATGATAAGCCAAAAACCAGGGTATCATCAGAAGATGATAATCGATGAAAAAATAATGAAAAGAGTTGAATGGATACCATCATCATCAGAAGTTGATAGACCTCCACCACGCCATCATCAGTGGATGATAAACCTCCACCATGTCATCATTGGAAGATGATCAAAAGTCCAACATTCTGTCATATAAGAAAATGATGTTACCTATGTACAGCCTTCCGAAATCTCTTTGGCTCTACATTTCCAGATTGCTAGGTCACACAAGTGAATCAGCGCATTGACATTAATGTGCGTAACTTCTTCTCCCTCTCTGCTTTCTTGGCTGTCGGAGTCCTTTTCAACTTCTGCAATTCCTCCGTGACAAGCTTCTCGACTGTGTCAATTGACTTCAGAAGCTTCTTTTGAGGTGTGAGAGCTTCTGATTCCTCTGCATTCTGATTGGTGACATCAAGAAGAATCTTAGTCACTTTGCCGAAAGATGGAGAGCATCTACCAATAGCACCCGACGGGTTTGGAGAGAGGATAGACCTTTGCTGCTTAAGTTGAATAGCTGATGGCACTGTGGGAGAATCAAGAAACCTAATTGGAGAATCAAGAAACCTCCTTTGATGAGTTACTGGAGTCCCCACGTGCTGGCCCCCCACCTCGCTCAAGCTAGCTCTTCTCCTTTCAATAGCCTGCTCAAGACTCCCAACAATAATGGATCAAGAAATGGCCAAGAAAGGTACAAAACACAAAGAACAATGAAATAATCTTAACATAATATATCATCCTTGTTGTAGATCTTGATTCAATTAGAATAAATAACCATGTAAAGGCACAAAACAAAATTTAGAATACATATCCATATATAGGATGTTGCGGTAAATTGTGTTCTTTTTCTGATCATTCTGTTGCGGTAAAGATATATCACATCACAAATTAATATGGTATTTTACGATAAAAGTAATAGATGGAATTGTCATCAAATAACTTATTAGCATATCAATAGATTATTTCGGAATGGCATATATATCACACATCCTAAAGTAAGTAAAAACTTTAGATTTTCATCAAGACACATATACAACAATATCTTATAAGGAAAAGCACTTAATTATGAGAATATACACGATAGAAAATTCTGTCAATCCATTGAGGTAAGGTCGACATAAGTGAATAGTTGCTCATTTTTTTAAGGTGACTGTCCTTCAGTCCATTCCATATATGTCTTTCTCAAAAGCTTGAAGATAGGCATCTTAGGTGCAGCCCAGATAATGCCTCTTCTCATTAGATTATCCAGGGTAGGGATTCACCCCAAGTTGCCTCTTAAGAAAAGGTTTTCTTCCTAGGTTGTCTCCCTCATCTTTCTCACAGATAGAAAGCTCTCTCTATTCAGTTTTTACGCCAGATTTTTTTGTACTATAATGCTTTATTTATCATCAAGAAAATTGGTATAGATTTTCAACGTAGTCTTGGAAGGCTCCTATAAAGAAACCTTGTGCATCAAAGAGAAGTTCTAAGTCATTCAAATCCAAAATCTTTCAGAGTTCAGAGCCATTTAAATTCAAAGTCTTTCAAAATTTTGAAGTCATCTAAATTCGAATTAAGGAGTCTTTCAAATTGTTGGGTAATTCCGATGATCAACATAAAGTTGTTAACTAGACGTTCTATAAACACCATACCGCATTAAAATGAATAGAGAACTTAAGGGCATTCAGTCACCATGCTAAAGGCATATAGGACAGAATCATTTCATTTCCATTCATAACGGAGGGGGAAGCTCAGACACACACCTAGCATTAGGTTCAACCACGTAAAATAAAGCACAGAACAAACCAGAAATTGAAATTACCCTCACAATAGCAGTGATGTCATGAAGAGGAGCTCTTGGGTACCAAGCTGGTAACAAATTAAGTCCCCTTCCGCGTCGAGCACCTCCCGCAGGCGTGTTCTCCCTTCCTCCCGGAGTTCCAGGAAGATTGCGACCGCGCCCATTTCCGGTTCGCGGAGTCCCGAAACTGGTCCTTATAAGCCCCCCACCTCGCCCTGAACCACCACCCAGGATCATCGATCTTCGCGCTGCCATTGATCCAACTGGGGATTCGAACAAGTTTATACTCGTTTCTTGCTCGTCTACAAAAATACCCAGTGCCCCAGAGCGCCTCGTAGCGAAGACTTGGACGATTTCATCGGGCCTCGACAATCTGTCTCTAGACTCGGGCATTGTTATACTTTCAACTGATGATAAAGAATACAACAAACTGAACATATTAAGTTAAATGAAAAAGCTACCATGTTCTGGGAAAATAAAACTACAGAAGAAATTGAAGATTCCTGGACTACTAAATAATGTCGTTTTCTTCAATAAACCGAGAAACTTCTCTCATTTTTTTAAACTTTCAATGAAAAGAGGGTTCTCTTCCAGCTTTAGGTTCGTCATTGACACTGAGAATCCCCGGTGACCCCTAAGCCAGAATCTTGTTTCAAGCGGACCTCAGATAACAAATTCGCCCGAAAACGAGTTTCGACCGATACCCAAATAGGAGACAGGCGAGTCTCTGATTTCAAAAACAGAAAAATCTGAAGAAACCCAGATAAGATCAGGAAGAAGAAAAACAAAGTCGCAAATCACATTAGTCCCGATAAAGTCCCAGTAAAGACGAAAAACAAGGAATTGCAGCTTTACCTGGATGGTCCGCCGATTATCCTTGAAAGCACAAGGAAAATGTAAACCTTAATTTCGAATTGATGATTAAAGGCGGTCTTATATGCAAAACGAAAATGGTGGGTGCTTCGAATCCAATAGGTTAGCACGTGCGAGACATTCCATTTCCAGGTTTACAAGTCGACGAAATGAAAATTTCAAATCTTCTTTCGGGCGGGAAAACGTGTAGAACTGGTTTTGGATGCGCTGAGTTTGCTATTTTACTCGGGAGCTAGAGGTTTTGTTTGTGTAGACTTGTCTGACTATGAGGTCCAGCCCGAGCCGCACGTCTCCGGCTCAACGAGCTCAGTCTAAAAACACCAATGGATCGAGCCTTGGATTCATCAAATGGGTCGAGCCCAAACAACAAATGCTGCATATGATGGCACTCTTACATTGAAATTTGGAGATTTAGTTCTTTGAGTTTGGATAAGAACTAAATATAAGTATATATAATAATAAAGTAAAATAAAAATAATATATATATATATATATATAACACTTGCAAATTTAGACAGATTTCAGAAAGTTAAACTCAGCTCATTCCCACTTAACCCTAGTTTCCTGATAATTCAAACTCAAACCTGACCTTAACACATATTTTAACAAAGAAATTCATGACAAATTGAATTAGACAGGTTTAGATATTAAATGTCATTCCTACACAAATCTCTTGAATCATTGGATAACAAGTTCTAAAAATTACAATAAACTCTTAGTATAGCTAATGATATTATTTATTATCTAACCCACATTAGAATTCTTTTTCTGGATAATCATGGCAGTTGGTATTTTTGTCATAGTAAGTAATACATCACATAAGATATATCACGGCTAATTATGGCAACTTTGTGAACCTTCCCTCAGCTGCAACTTCAACATAGAGTACCACAAAACAAGGAAAGCTCTTGGAGAAGCCTTCAAATCAAGGATCATTCAAGTCTTGGTAGTAATAACTTAGATCTAAACTTTTGAGCTAATAATCCATTAAGTCGATACAACTTACCAATTAGTGCAAGCGTAAACCGCCTAAAGCTTTGATTATATATGATAGAGGCATACGATAATTGTTCAAACTTCTGGTACCAAATAGTTTGGATCCAAAAATCATCAAACCCAATCATGAAATTTCAAATTAATATGATTTACTAATAAGTATTTCCTGTAGAAATTGAAGCAACAAGAAAGCAATGAAACACTTCATAAAATGGAATCCAACACAAGCTAGTGATTCCTCAGAAGACTTGTAAAGTGAGCAAATTCATGGCAGAATATCCTGCTAGACAAATCAGAGACTGAACTAATAGTTTTATATACACTTTATGGAAACAATATCCAGTATTTCTACAATAGACCTTTTCAAGAAGAAACTCTAAATTCCTACATATTCTCCCTAAAACCTTCCTCAGTGGCAGCAAACATATTCTCCAACTCATCTTAAATTCTTCAATCAGATGTCAAATGCATTGAGAATAAAAGAGTGTAAGCTATATGGTAAGCAAAGTTTTTTTCTTCCAACAGAAAGTATCACCAGAAGATGATCAATATCACTGTGATATCACCAGAAGATGATAAGCCATCTAGCATATCATCAGAAGATGATAATTGATGAAGAAACTTTGAGAAAAAGTTGAATGATATCATCATCAGAAAATGATAAACTTCCACCATGCCATCATCAGAAGATGATCAGATGTCCAACATTCTATCATCAGAAAATGATATTATAGCTGTGCAGCCTTCTGAAATCTCTGGATCTACCTTTTCAGATTGGTGCATGACACTAGTCGATCAGCGCATTGACATTAATGTGCGTACCTTTTTCTCTCTTTCTGCTTTCTTGGCAGTTGGGGTCCTCTTCAACTTCTGCAACTCCTCTGTAACAAGCTTCTCAACTGTGTCAATTGACTTCAGAAGCTTCCTCTGAGGTGTAAGAGCCTCTGATTCCTCTGCAGTCTGATTGGTGACATCAAGAAGAATCTTAAACACTTTACCGACAGAAGGCGGGCATCTACTGACTGCAACTGTTGGGTTTGGAGACCGGGTAGAGCCCTGCTGCTCAACTTGAACATCTGATGGCATTACAGGAGAATCAACAATCCTCCTTTCATGAGTCACAGGAGTCTCCACCTGCTGGCCCTCCAACTCTCTCAAGCTAGCTCTTCTCCTTTCAATAGCCTGCTCAATGTTCCCAACAATTATGTATCAAGAAATGGCACAGAAAGCCTCAAATATAATGGAAAATGAAATAATAAAAAAACACCCATTAGTGCTAATTGAACCCTACATTTAGGCACAACAGCCATTATGAAGGCAGTGATGTTGACAATAAAAACACATGAGAACTTGTGGCCCTTGCAACCATGAGGGCTTCTTGGGCACACAGGCGGAACTCCTGATATTGTAGACCAAACATAAAATCCTGTACCTCAGTTCGGGTAAAAGGCAATGACCAGATGTTTTTACACCGCATATCAACTGTGTTATTGTTGTGCAATATGGAAAATTAAGCAAGCATAGAAAAACAAAAAGTAAAGAACACAGTCGACATGTTCAACAGGGAAGTACTAATCAAGGAAAATAACTCGGCATCCACTACAAAAAATCATCAAAAACTTACAACGTGGTATGTCTACTTTCAGATTCTGGCTATAACATATTCAAATCTCACAAGTAGCAATGACCTCAAATTCTGAAGAGATGTCTATATATATACACACACGTATAGATATATAGCAAGTGCAGGAAAAGAAATATGTTTAATCATCTAGACCAAGAAACCTTATAACAGTTATAAAACAAGTCAGTGATTATTTACAAGCCACAAAAAGGAAAAACATAAAGTTATAAAACAAGTCGGTGATTATTTACAAGCCACAAAAGGGAAAAACATAAACTTTGATAAATATCTCAGCTATTTAACTTCAACAGTAATGGAGAAATAAGGATGCAGGAAAATCTCCAAACAATTAATGACCAATGAAAGAAATAGAAAAATACTAAGAAAATCATTACATAATGGATGCAGCAGAAATTAAATACAAAAATATGTACTACAGCCACATGCCCAATCCAAAGTTATTAACTAGAGATCATTATAGACGCCATACCCATGTTAAAATGAATTGAGAACTTGTTCCTACGCAGTTAAAAAAGGTATCCAGAACATTATTTATTCACCATGTCGAAGATATATAGAATTATTTCATTAGACTAACCCACAGAAAAGAAAGAACTTATCAACTGAAACAACACACCAGTCGGACATTACCCTCACAATGGCTGTGATATCACGAAGAGGAGTTCTTGGATACCAAGCTGGTAACACACTAAGTCCCCTTCCGCGTCGAGCACCTCCCGCCGGCGTGTTCTCCCTTCCTCCCGGAGTTCCACGCAGATTCCGACCACGCCCATTTCCGGTTCGTGGAGTCCCGAAACTGGCCCTTCTAAGCCCACCACCTCGTCCTGAACCACCACCCAGGACCATCGATCTACGCGCCGGCGTTGATCCAAGTGCTGTTTGTGCTCCTGCTCGATGAACTGGAGATCCGAACAAGTTTATATTTGTTTCTTGCTCGTCTACCAAAATCCCCAGAGCCCCAGAGCGCCTTCTAGCGAAGACTTGGGCAATTTCAACGGGCCTCGACAGTCTGTCTCTGGACTCCGGCATTGTCATACTTTCAACTGATGATAAAGAAGTGAATTATAACAAACTGAACATAACAAGCTAAACAAACAAGCTATTATTTTCTTGGAAAATAAAGCTACAGAAAATTTTGAAGATTCTTGGACTACTAAATATCGTTTTCTTCAATAAAAAGAGACTCTACTAATAGAAACTCTCTCATTTTTTAACTTCCCACGAAAAAAGGGTTCCCTTGGTCCTTTAGATTCATCCTTGAGACCCACAAGTCCCTGGCAATCCAGAAGCCAGAACCTCGTTCCATAACAAATTCGCCCGGAAACGAGTTTCG